CTTTCCTCTAGCAAAATGCTATTTTGGCACTCTTGCCCTGGTAAAAGGGGTGGAATACACAGCCTCTTCCAAGATTATTGTAGCTAACTTGTTCTGAGAATGCTGTGGCAACTCACATTTTTCGTTTTCCACTGAAGCCTAGTTTATTACTTGCTATGCTGGCCTCGATCACCAGGAATTCTCAGTGAAATAAATTTGAACTCAGTGGATAGACTGGAGGTACTGTATGGCTCTAAATTACTGTGCAAACTTCAGAAATCCAGAGGTTATTCTTAAATTCTGGCTGCAGGCAAGCTAAAAAGACAGCCACTAACTTCAGATGATAATTTCAAACTCTTTTGAATTTTATAAGCTACAGGCATATTGGTGATTCCATTATGTTAGGCTAGCAAAAGATGTAAAGGCAATGTAAGGAACTTTCCATGTTTGTTTTATCTACTTTGGCTCCATTTGTGTCCTCCCTAATTATCTTTTGCTGGGAAGGAGACTCTTTTTAAATTCCATCTCCTGGGAGTTATGAATCGGAGCATTTCCATGGTGTCCTTGGCCTTGCTTTCTGCCCACTTTTGGCTATACCACTTCCAAGGAAACTGTAGACAAACTACCATAAATTCTTGGCCCCAGCTACACGCACCCAAGCTTTGAACTGCACAAAGTCACTATAACTTCCCTTCAGGCTCCCCATGTATTTACTTTGACTTCAGTATTTAAAGATAAGCTCAGTGTGAGTGCTAAAGATTAATTCTATCTCTGAACTTTCATTGATACTTTGGATTATATAGTACATGTTTTTAATAAATGAATACTAAGAATTTGATCTATTTAGTTGCACTTGCACACAATCTGATATATTAGAGTAAGAGCTCAGGCTGCTAGCCTGAGAATGGACTGGAAATTTAGAACCGAGTTGTATCCATAGTTCTGGAACCAACTAATTGCATGCCCTTGGCTCATTGACTATATCCTTTATTTTAGTGTTCTCTTCTGTAAAACGGAAAGTTAATACCCTCCAAAAGAGGGTGTGATCAGTGTGATTTACTCACCCTCCTCTAAAAAGGGGTAGCAATGATCATTTGTTGAGCATCCCTGATCACTGTCCCTGACCTTTTATTTTATAAAACCACTCCTAGCCTTCCAAACTCCTAGCAAGCTGCTACCCACCCTCAGAAGCTGATTTTTTAATCTATCAAAATATGCTTATGAAAAGTAGTCATCAGAAAGTTTCACTGTTTGTTTGTTTTTTTTTCCCTTTTTTCCCCTCCATTTGGGTCCCCCTTCCCCCCCCCCCACACCCCCCCCAC